AGTGTAATCGAATTGTTGGTCCAAGTTTGTGTGTTACGTGCTTGGGTTTGGTTCGATCCGTATGTGTGTTTATATGTATCCATATCCCCTTTGTGTTCACTTCCCGTAGATGTGGTTTTCGGTATACTCGGAAGATGCCATTCTGTGTAGTAACAATTGGGCTTGATTTGGGATTTGATGTTTACTGCTTGTTTTGCTTCATTTGGTGAGGAACTTGAATTTTAGGTGTTTTTGCTGATAATGATTTCAAATTTCTTCTACAATTGTATGATTCGTTTGTTGTTATAGAAAGTGGAAGTTGCATATCTTTAACCTTTAGAGTTTATACTTGGTATGGCTAGTTTAGCATGAGGCTGCCTCAGATCTATAACCTTGTTCAAGTCACAGATCTAAGAACCTGTTCATTGTAAAAAACTAACTTTGATTACATTTAAATAGACAATGAAAGTGTAAGTTTTGTTACTTTATGGTTGTTGTGGAATTAGCTGCAAGCAAACTCCAATTGTATAATGAATCTACTGTACATAAGTATTTGATATGCATTTGTGATCATTATCTCTGAGTTAACCTTTTGGCAAAACCGTGCTCTTTGTTCGAAGGTGGAAGGAAGGACTGTGAAAGCTCAGATATGGGACACGGCGGGGCAAGAACGATACAGAGCCATAACAAGCGCATATTACAGAGGTGCACTTGGAGCTCTCTTGGTCTACGACGTCACTAAACCAACAACGTTTGAGAATGTAAGCCGGTGGTTAAAAGAACTCAGAGACCATGCAGATTCCAACATCGTGATCACGTTGATTGGAAACAAGACAGATCTAAAGCATCTTAGAGCAGTCGCTACAGAGGATGCTCAAAGCTATGCAGAGAAAGAAGGGTTATCTTTCATCGAGACATCGGCTCTCGAGGCATTAAACGTAGAGAAGGCTTTTCAGACGATTCTCTCAGAGATTTATCGGATCATCAGCAAGAAATCGATATCTTCAGACCAAGCAACTGCGAATGCCAACATCAAGGAAGGCCAAACCATTGACGTTGCTGCTTCTTCTGATTCAAACACTAAGAAGCCTTGTTGCTCATCGTCTTGAAGGGCTTTGCTTGTGTCACGCTTTGAAAAAAGCCAATATCTATGAGACTTTTTTTTCAAGACTTGAGTTGTGTTACACTATAGCTGAATATATGCAAGTTGCATTTGTTTTTATTTTTCTGCTGATAATAACTCAAAGACATTATAATTGAATTGTGGATTTTGGAATCGCTCATGCAAATATTATTCGTACTTTTGAGTAGTAATTGTATATAAGACAATTGGGAAGAGTATCAAAATGCAAGAAGCAATTGTATATAAGAAAATTGGGAAGAGTATCAAAATGCAAGAAGCAAAGAGACCAGCATAGAAATATTATTTGAATTTTGAATATAATGATCCATTTATATAGAGCAGAAATTCTCCGATTTTTTTTTATTATTTTTGCTTTTTAAAAATCTTTTTAATAGTACTAAATAAACAAAATCAAAAGATTAAACACAAATTACATTTTCATTCAAGATTTAAGAAGAAAGAAAAAACCAAGGAGAAGAGGT